TGATGAATATACCCAACACGGAAAAAAAAGTTAAAAATATGTTTTAGCTAAGTTAAAGTTATGTTAAATTTGTGCTAAATTTATGTTAAAGTTAGGTTATAGTTAAGTTATATTTAGGTTTAAGTAAAGTTAAATCGAAGTGACAGTTACGCTAAAGTTAAGTTAAAGTTAGTTAAAAGATAAGTGTTTGTACAAAACGTGTGCAACTACCCTACCCAAATACTCATATCAACACACAAGTTCCGCAAGCGTAGTGTTATCACGCCTGGCCCGATAAACGACCGTGTTTTATTTTCACCATCTATTCACACAACGTAGGGAAGTTCTGCCCGTGCGCGATCAATAAGTTATATTTAAGATTATGTCAAGTTAAGTGAAAGTAAAGTTGAAGTTAAGTTAAATTTTAGTTAACGTTAGGTTAAAGTAAGGTTAAAGTTAAGTTAAAGATAAGTTAAAGTTAAGTTAAAATTAAGTAAACGTTAAGTGAAAGGTAAGTTAAAGCTTTGTTAAATTTGAGTTAAAGTTATCTTAAAGTTAAAGTGAAGTTAATTTAAAAATATGTTAAAGCAATATTAAAGTGAAGTTTAAGTTAATTTAAAATTAGGTTAAAATTATGTTGACGTTAAGTTAAAAGTTAAATTAACGGGCTCAGCAAAACAGGAATCTGGCCTTGCATTAGTAATATCATTGACGACGATGCATTTGCTCCATCTGATGTAACCGATCAACCTGCTGGTGCAACACTACCTCATAAGGATCCACTTCTCCATCTATCCAGTGTGAAGATAAAAGAGTTCAAGTGGCTCCTGAGTTGGCTTGTTGTTCTGGAAATCACAATGATTCTACAGCTAAGCAACGTGGTACTGACGAAAACGTCAAGCGTCATCTGATCAATATGCCGTTAATTTGAAAAATTCAAAAGCTTCCAAAACATCAAATCCATTAAAATGGAGCGAAAACAAACGCCGAAGAAATCCAATCAATCGCATTACAAGACCGACTCTTGATTTGATAGCCTGTGTAACATATGTGGTTGCCAATTTTCGGATTCGGGTGCAGGAACGGGATGGGAAATGTGTTTGCAATGCTTCTCTTGGTTCCACGCGGCATTACTTGCATAAAATGTGTGATCAATGCATAAATATATCAGTAGATTTTCCAACTCAAGCCTTAAGGTGCCAATCTTTACCTATCCATGTAAAGCTAAATAAATTTCTGTAGTTGGCAAATTCCATTCGGTGCAAGATTGCTTGGAAAAGAGAGCCAAAGTGTGTAGTAGACCTAAAAATAGATGTAAGTCCTACAAAACTTCTCTTAAAATACCATGCTTAACAAATCTTGGTAATCAATTTTGCATATATTTAAACCCTTTTTCTACTGTAAATTGTAGAAATTGGGGAAAGCCGAGACGTTCATGCTGGTAGCCATTTTGAAGCCTGAAACTAGTATTACAAAAAAGTTATTCGCCTGACTCACCATATTGGTTCCCTCCGCTTTGAGAGCGAACATATTACGAATGCTCGCGTCACTTTTCAATAGGTCCTAAGTAACAAATGCAGGCAAATTGTGCTTACCAATACAAACTATTGCTATTGTATCATTGTATGTGATTCAAAAACATCCATCCAAATTTACTATTTAAGATAATCATTGGTCAAAAATTCCCCCTTATTCTGCGAGTCACGTGACTCTCTCCCACCGGTGAGGTGACAATTGTCACCTCGTGTGAGGTGACTCTCCATGCAAATCAAATGGAGAGTCACCTCACACGAGGTGACTATTGTCACCTCACCGGTGAGAGAGAGAGTCACGTGACTCGCAGAATAGGGGGGATTGTCCAATGTACAGTTTGAAATGATGGGTACATGATTGTTATTTCGGTCATTCGGACTGCCTAACATGATTGGTGCTCATTTTCTAAAGGCGGGGCCAATCTAAAATTATGTACTCTACTCTGAAATCTGTGAAAGGGAATCTAGTATCATGTAGACAAAACGTCCGATGTAACACTCATTGATTATGTTATTGAGAAAAATCGTTCAATGAAATTCAAAGCAAAATGGTGATTTTACCGTTTCTACTGAATTTTCAACGTTATTATTCACTGACTACATTAAAAAATAGTATTGCAAAATGCATTCTTTCTACACAGTTAAAATAATAATCTGTCGAACTTCAACCTCGATTTTCTCAAAAAGGCGTGACGCGAAAATTCAGCATTTGACGGGGCACCCCACGGTCAAGCTCGCTGATCTAATATATGCCAGTTAGGTATAGACAGACCACTAGGACAAAATTAAATAATAAATTAACTTTTGTGCTGAGAAATATTCTTAATTTAACTCTTTTACGTTGGAAAAAAAAGTTGTGGCCCTTAAAAGGGCCGATTGATTGTTTGGATGTTATGAATTTACTTGGAGCTGGTGTACTTGGTGACGGCTTTGGTTCCTTCGGAGACGGCGTGCTTTGCCAACTCACCCGGCAGCAGCAGACGGACAGCGGTTTGGATTTCGCGAGAGGTGATCGTAGAGCGTTTGTTGTAGTGAGCCAGACGGGACGATTCAGCAGCGATACGTTCGAAGATGTCATTGACGAAGCTGTTCATGATGCTCATGGCCTTCGACGAGACTCCGGTGTCGGGGTGGACCTGCTTCAACACCTTATAGATGTAGATAGCATAGCTTTCCTTCCTGCGCGTCTTCCTCTTCTTCTTGTCTCCCTTAACAATGGCCTTCTGAGCCTTGCCGGACTTCTTGGCGGCCTTTCCACTGGTTTTCGGTGCCATAGTAAAGCTGTTTAGTTGGGTAGAGTAAACACTAATAATTTCGCTTAGACGATGGTGTCTCGTTTTATACCCGTAGCATAACAACCGAAGCTCGTCCCCTTCTATGTATTTTAGTCAAAACCAGTTGTATGCTACCCGCCTTGTATTCATAATATGCTGCTCGACGCAGGTATAAGAGCACCATCGACGAGTTAAAACGACATCAGTACAAGTTCAGCATTGAGTTGCTCGCTTTATTTTCACATCGTAATCTACCCTACTACATCGAACCATGTCTGGCCGTGGCAAAGGAGGAAAAGTTAAGGGAAAGGCAAAGTCCCGCTCGAGCCGCGCTGGATTGCAGTTCCCAGTCGGTCGTATTCACCGTCTGCTCAGGAAGGGCAACTACGCCGAGCGCGTTGGTGCCGGTGCTCCCGTCTACTTGGCTGCCGTGATGGAATATCTGGCCGCTGAAGTTCTGGAGTTGGCAGGAAACGCCGCCCGTGACAACAAGAAGACCAGAATTATTCCACGTCACCTGCAGTTGGCCATTCGCAACGACGAGGAGTTGAACAAACTGCTGTCCGGAGTGACCATCGCTCAGGGTGGTGTCCTGCCAAACATCCAGGCCGTCCTGTTGCCCAAGAAGACCGAAAAGAAGGCTTAAATTTTATCGGAGACCGCACCCAACATACAAAACCGTCCTTTTCAGGACGACCAATTTGATTTTCCCAACTAAAGAGTTTATTGTATTGGCATTTCTTATGATCGAAATGAAGGCATATTTTCATTATGAAAATTATGTATTTCAATCTTTCATTCCTCCGCCTCTGTACGGTAAAATGAGAGATAGAAACTGTTTTCTTAGTCGATTATTGCAAATATTTACCACCCGTGATTAACTTGAAACATCAATAGAGGTTTTCCTCGGACCGCTAGTTCTGAAGAAGCTATGTATGTACTATATTATTCTATAATTGCCCAAAAAAGTCGGCCTGTTATTTTGCAGTCAGTCTGACATACCACAAAGTAGACTTACACTAACAGGATTTCCCGCCGTTTTTTATGAATGGGCGGGGCTTAGAAAGTATGGTTTGTTCCGAGTATACAAAAAAGGAGGGACTTAAAATTCGAATCTAAAAGCATAAATATAGGTATCGTCCGGTTTTGTCAGTGCTAGGTACTAAAATCTGTAATTTGCGATAAAGAAATCACTGTTTTCCCCGCCACAATTTTTTTAATGGAAAATGATTTATGTGCTTCCACAAAACACACGAAATCTTTTTTTAAATAGCAATATTTAGTCAAATTGTTTGCTCAATCGGTAGATAAATGATGTACCGAGAATCAATTGGAGGGATTTACCGCTAAAATGTTATGATCACGTGAGATATTCGCGACCAATTGCGGGAATTCACCAAGGGAATTGCTGGAATCAATGTATTCCTGATATCAATGAGAACAATATAGCAGGTCAGCTACCCAGACAAAAATTCAAGGAAATTACAAAAAGTATTAGGGAAAATATATCTAGCCCCATTTTTTTTGCTTATTTCGAACTACTATGGTTGTGCGGTGTGTGATGTAATACAACATAGCCAACGGGTTTGGCCTATGGGATGTATTCATCAACCCTGATTATCTTCAACAAATGCGGAAAACATCACTACTCATACGTACGTGTGGACCGTGCACCTGTCCACCCGAAGTGAAACGCGCACGCACGTATAGTTGAATAGATAGTATAGGCACTCAAAAATGTGTACATCTACTGTTGTACGATGTTCAATATGCGTACAACTTGTCGGTATTCATGTTGCCTGCAGTTCACATTCTGACGCGCATTTAGCTGCGGTCTTCATTGATCCACGAGCCGAGTGATCTCCTGTCTAGGGTTTGGTTTCAAGATTCCGAGAGCTACAATCATAAAACACTGGTTTGGGTCTATCTCATGTAGGGCAGAAAGCATGGTACTGCTGCATATGGATCGGGTTGGCAAACCATGACACTACACACCACTGGTACACGGGTCGAGCGAGCGAGTGGTGTCACACCCTACGATGGGTGAATCATACAGTAATGATCCTTCCGTAGGTTCACTTACGGATGTTTAATTTTTTTTCTAAATCATCAAGTTCGGTCAACTGCTGTACGATGTAGGATATGCGTTCAACTTGTCGGTGTTCATGTGTCCTGCAGTCCTACCTAAAAGCATTCTCAACTCTCTTGTGGAATGTTTGTAGTGGCCCTGAAAAGGGCCGGTTTTGTAAGGTTGCGACGGATAGATTTAAGCGCGTTCACCACGGATACGACGAGCCAGCTGTATGTCCTTTGGCATGATCGTGACACGCTTGGCGTGGATGGCGCACAGGTTGGTATCTTCGAACAGACCGACCAGATAGGCTTCACTGGCTTCCTGCAGGGCCATGACGGCCGAGCTCTGGAATCGCAGATCGGTCTTGAAGTCCTGAGCGATTTCACGGACCAGACGTTGGAAAGGCAACTTGCGGATCAGCAGTTCGGTCGATTTCTGGTAACGGCGGATCTCACGCAGAGCGACGGTTCCTGGCCGGTACCGATGAGGCTTCTTCACTCCTCCGGTGGCTGGAGCGCTCTTGCGAGCGGCTTTGGTGGCCAGTTGTTTGCGAGGAGCCTTGCCTCCGGTGGACTTACGAGCGGTCTGCTTAGTGCGAGCCATTATGCTTATTTTCGATGCGAACACGATGAATAGATGTCGTTGAATAAAAATGTGATCCGTCTACCCCTCTATTTTATAGCATACATTTGCTATGTTCAACCAATCACAGATGATGAAAGAACAAGAGTACAATAACTAGTAAGAAGAATTTAACCCTCGAGTGGGTATAAAAGAGGCATTCATGGTCGACAATAAGCATCATTTTCGTTTCAACCGTATCCGAGACAGTATCAAACAGCATAAACGATGACTGGACGTGGTAAGGGAGGCAAAGGACTCGGTAAAGGAGGCGCCAAGCGTCATCGCAAGGTTCTGCGTGATAACATCCAGGGTATTACCAAGCCCGCCATCCGTCGTCTGGCTCGTCGTGGTGGTGTCAAGCGCATCTCCGGGCTGATCTACGAGGAAACCCGAGGTGTGCTGAAGGTGTTTCTGGAAAACGTGATCCGAGATGCCGTCACATACACTGAACATGCCAAGCGCAAGACCGTCACGGCTATGGATGTCGTTTACGCTCTGAAGCGACAGGGACGCACTCTGTACGGTTTCGGAGGTTAAATCAGCATCATCAACTCTGGCATCAAAAACGGCCCTTTTCAGGGCCACAACATTAATGAAAAAAGTGTTTGATGGCAACTTCTTGCAGCAACATTATGATTGGTCATATCAAAATTAACAATTTATCGGTTAAAAGCTTACAAATACCAAATAATACCTGTTTCATGCAATACTGTCTAAATTTTTAATTTGAGAATTTGATGACAAATGACGGCAATTAGGTGAATTTTCTTCCCACAAACATCCATTTTAAAATTTGGGATATATCGAAAGTTGTGGGTAGATGTGCCTTTACAAAAAAAAAAACTAAATTAAAGAAGCAGCTACCATAAATCGACGTGCTGGGAAATCTTTTAAGTGTAAGTTAATATTCCGTACCGAATAGCCCTGAATATAATTGCTACAATAATTTATCATTTCCAGCTATATTTTTCTTCATTTCCCGCGCATGAGTTTAATACCAAGTGACACACGAAATTGTTTGCAATATCCAATAATACCTACCGTTCGTTTATATTGAAATTCATAGTAATATGTATGGAAAATCATACGATAGCTGATTGACAAAAAAAAACTTACAGTTCTTCAACATTATACGATATTTCTATGCAATTTGCTTGATTAACCTTTGCGTGCCTAACGTCTAAATTGACATAGATTTCAAAATTCAGTTAGGTTCTAAAAACAAAATTTATCAATATTTTTCTCCACAACAAGTTGCATTTTGTTGGGAATCTATTGTCTTGAAAAACTTGGATCAATACATGGTTCCGAAGTTATTCCGGTTTCCGTGGAGGTCCCTCTGCGTCAGCATTCGGCTTTACTATTCTATGTTAATAATACACCATGCATTGATCATTTTTTTTTTCCTGACGGAGTCCAAAATTTGAATAGATTTCAGATAAATTTCAACTTATTGGTTGAGAAATGATGTTCTAAGAGCTAATTGAGTTTTGAAATCTATGCTTATTTAGACGTTAGGCACGCAAAAGATAATAATATCAGTGTATGATGCCCATCCGCTTCTTTGCTACCAAGCCACCAACGGAAACTACATTGAAAAGAAATTATCATTTAAATACTACCTCTACACAGCATACATATATCTCTTCGGTAGGTAGAATTATAAAATTTACGTGAGGCTATTTGGTTAAAAATACGAGAAAGCAGGTAGACATAAGGCAGCACACATCAAGCGTCTTCACCTTCAACCCAGAAAACGATGATCGTTATTCCAATGGACAGCTTTTTGGAAAATTCCACTTACAAAATGGCTACCGCCAGAGGCAGATATAAAATTAAAAGAGATAAGAGAAAAAATGATAATAAATTAATTAATTGATTAGATATAACATGACACGTTTAACGGGCTGTGTTTTAATGAATAAAAACTGATACATATTTACACGCTCGTGTAAGTTTATATCTTTGTTCGTTGAAAAATAGATAGCTTGTCATTGACATTTACGTGCCATGTAAAAACACACATAATGTAAAACTCAATGCACATGAAATTTTGGAAGTAACCGTCAACAATGCTGTTGATGGTACAGCACGCAACAGCACCCTTCAAGTTCGATTTTCTCAAAATGGTGGATATGTTCCATTAGTCTATTTGAAAAGTGAAGCAAGTCAAACGCGCACTCTTTTGCCTGTGGATTTGAGGACCTCAAATCCCCTCGTCCATCAAAGATGAGTTAGAATAAGGTGTGCATTTGATTAGTACCTTCGCTGGCCCTTCGCACAATTTCAATTTCTGTTCAATTTTTGACACTAATAAATAGCTAATAAATTATCGCACAAAAGCTTTATGTTGATATTTGTATAGCATATCCACCCAACTCTACATGAAATGTTTCTAAATGCATTCATATAAAGTTAAAGTTACATTGCTATATGTTTAACACAAAATTCATAACTACCACACGTAAATTTATAAAGTTTACATCGTGGAACGTTTGTCATTTTTCAAAGTATCTACTCGTTTGTCTATACTGGATTTCACGGATGTAATGTACCCATGAACCGTAAAACAATTGTTTCAACAGGCAAAAAGAAGCTAATCGATGAAGATTATTCCAAATGGTAACTCTTGATGGAAATCAATACTGGTAGTCCTGAAAAGGACTGATTTGGGTGATTGTTTCGTGCGTGGCACGTCAGTAGGCGTCGTTTCCAAGTTTACTTCTTTGCGGCGGCCTTCTTCGGCGCAGCTTTCTTGGCTGGGGCGGCCTTCTTCGGTTTCGGGGTCTTCGGCTTCTTGGCAGCGGTCTTCGAGGGCTTGGTGGCCTTTTGCTTGGGCGCAGCAGCCTTCTTCACAGTTCCAGCCTTCTTGGCGGCCTTGGCACCGGCAGCTTTGGCTTTCTTCTCAACGGCTGGTTTCTTGGCTGCGGGCTTTTTGGCCTTCTTCTCGCCAGCGGGTTTCTTGGCGGCGGGCTTCTTGGCGACCTTTTTCTTCTCACCGGTAGCCTTCTTTGCCTTCTTATCTCCAGTGGCCTTCTTTGGTGCCTTTTCATCGGCCTTGAGCTTGAACGATCCTGAGGCACCGGATCCCTTGGTCTGGACTAGAGTGCCCTTCTCGACACCGCTGACCAGAGCTTTCCTGATGAAGATGGACAGCTTGGCAACGTCGCACTTGTAGTTGGCAGCGATGTACTTCTTGATGGCCTGAAGGGATGATCCTTTGCGTTCCTTCAGGGTCTTGATGGCGGCTATGACCATCTCGTTTGCTGGTGGATGTGTAGCAGGCTTCTTCGGCTTCTTGGCGTCTCCCTTGGTGGCCTTGGCCTTCTTCGGGGTCTTGGCAGGCGAAGCAGCAGCAGGAGCCGCGGCAGCAACTACAGTGGCGGTTTCAGTCATGATGATTCAGAGTGTTTCGCTTGATACTAGTATGTAGTTAAAAATGAATGGATAATCATGTATGATGAAGAACTGCCTGTCGTTCGACTCTGATGTCTGTGTTAGGGAGAAAGCTTTAACGAAAAACTTAAGCTCATGCGATCTATTTTGATTTCTACCAGAAATAGTTTTTAAAACAACGTTTTCTACCAAGTGCAGGTTGATAAATATGTTTGGTATAACTTTGAATAGCGAGTCGACTAATGTATTTTCTCAAATATCAACTTTGTAATGGACTATAATTACTAGAAATACCATAACATTATCTTCTTCTGGGAAATGTTCGAATCAACTGGCAACTAGCTGTTGAAAAACAATCAAATTCATCTATTGAAACAATACTGATTGTTGTGCAAGTTGGGCGCTCTGGTAGACAGGTATTTCCGCTACACGTTGGTATCAATTTTATTTTTCTCTTTGTTACAAGTTCCGTTTAAATTGGATCTTCATCAGGATGATTAATGCGGTTGTGCTTTGCCGACTTAAGATCAATTAATAAGGCATCGGTGACTAATTTTTTTTTAGGTAAATACTTAAACCTTTTTTTCAGGTCAATTCAAGGTTATGACAGTTCCATAATATAGTACTTTCGGAATAGATTACTCAGAAATGTATTACTCAAGTTTAAAAAAAAAACAAGACATGGTTATGGACATCTTGTACTCGCTGTAAGTTTATTTTTATTTTTTAAACTATGGAATTATTATTATTGCTGTCATCAATCATCATTATAATGGGAAAAAATTATTTCTTTTGAGGGTATGAAATTTGACGATTTCGACACAAAATGCATATACGTCATTTGAATCGAATCTGGATAAACGTTAATGGCTGTAACATCCAATGCACGATGCAGTAAAGTTTTGTCAAAACCGTGAACTGTACTCTGTAGGTAAATTGATCACTATTAATATTGATAATATAAAGATCCATTCCAGCAATACCGTTAATCAGCATAATCTAAATTTGTGATCTATTTAGATATTTACTGATCTTAATTAGTACTTGGTGTGAAATTGTCACTTTTTAGTGACGTGGCTACTTTTATCAAGCCAGTCACTAAAAAGTCGTCTCCTCTTTTAAGGCCAAGTAACTAAAGTCACTTTCCCCCATCCCAAATTCGTTATCAATTGATCAAGTTCGCAATTGTTGAGGTGGATCAATTGCTCTTTCGATTTATATTGAGGTCCCAAACACAAGTCCTAGATCCCAACCAAATTTGTTCAAATGTCGCACTCTTGTTGGGGATCTCAATACCCATCGGAAGAGTAGTGGGGGGCAGGGGTTGTGGCCAGCCTCATAAACTTGACTCACCATGGTCATATTTTAGTTATTTTGGTTTTTCTAATCGTAATATATAGTCAAAATACATGGACATTTGAAAACGAATCTTTGTTTGCTGATGACACAGGCATTTCCGATAAAGGAAGAAATCTTCGTGTTATTTGCAGCAGACTGCAGAAAAGTTTAGATATTTTCTCTTTTTATTTACAAAAATGGATGATTTCTCCCAACGCTTCCAAAACTCAACTTATAATATTTCCACATAAGCCTAGAGCTTCGTTTTTGAAACCTAGTAGTAGTCACATAGTCACTATGAACGGAGTTCCAATTTCCTGGTCAAACCTAGTGAAATATCTTGGATTAATACTTGACCAAAAATTAACTTTTAAAGATCACATTGAGGGCATTCAAGCCAAATGTAACAAATATATAAAATGTTTGTATCCTCTTATAAACAGGAAATCCAGACTTTGCCTGACGAATAAACTTCTAATATTTAAACAAGCTTTTAGACCGGCCATGCTTTACGCTGTGCCAATATGGTCTTGTTGTTGCACTACGAGGAAAAAAGCACTTCAAAGAATTCAGAACAAAATTCTGAAGATGATTTTGAAGTTGCCTCCCTGGTACAGTACTACCGAGGTACATGGAATTTCGAATGTTGATACTTTAGCACAAATGTCCAACAAAATAATTAATAATTTCCGGCAAAAATCGTTACAATCCTCAATTGCAACGATTAATTCCCTTTATACTTAGATAAGATTTTGTTTTAGTTTTTTAATTTTAAGCTATCAATTGTTATATTGACATGCAGGTTTTAAAAACCTGTTTAAAATACTGAATTGCCAAGACAGGAACAATGTAAAAATACTTAGATATATATCATAACAATTAAGGGGGGAAATACAATTAGAAGGCCTAAAATGAGGCCTATCTTTGAGAGTGGATTGCGAGTAGGGAAATAAATGAATGTTAGCGATTCTTTATGCATGTTATTAAGGATTTAATGAAGATTAATTATCAGTGACATTTTTTTTTAAATTTTGCAATTTAGCCCAATTATTATAAATAATGTGAAGTCAATTTTTTAAAGCAGCACTTCGCGCCGTGCAGTCCCTACGTCCATGATCACGTCTGAAACAAAAAAAAAACAGGACATTAAATTTGAAGGTACAGCGCACAACATGAATTAATTCGTATGTTAAAATAATGTTTTTTTTCACAAAAAAATTTGAAGTTGAAAAAAAAAAATTTAAAAACCCTATTTTTTTCGACTTTGTTTATAAAAAAAAAAAACATGTTATAACAAACCAATCTAAAAAATCTTTCTATTCATGTTGTGGAGAATTTAATTATGAACATAAAACAGAAAACCGGAATCGATTTGAATGAAAACTCTGACCTGTACATTGCACGGTGATTTTGAAAACACTACTTTTCAGTAGAAGCATTTAAAGTTCAACTTTGACATGTTCAGCCATTTGAAATGCACTCACTGAATTGCGTATAACTTTTTAAATAAGTTCCGGACGGCTTTATGCTTTTAAAGGCTTATTCCCAGATACATATAGAGTAAATTAAGCCAAAAAAAATTTTTCGAAAAAAAAAAATCTAATTGTACTTCCCCCCTTAAGGCTGGTAAGTTACTGTAACTGAAATGTAATTTATTTTGAATTTGAAACAAATAAAGAGTTGAAAAAAAAAATGGACATTTGAAATGAACACAACTCTCCAGCAGACGGAATAAAGTGAATTGTTAAGAATACAGATACTTTTATTTCATCTCGCAATGATTGCAAAACTTATCAAAATAATAATTCGCTAATCAAAAAATCCTTTAATTTTCTGATTTGGATAGCAATTTGCATAAACGTTCTTTTTACCCAAAAATTTAATTTTCCATCTTCAAATCGCAATTTGAATCAAGTCTTATTTTTGAAACGAACTTATAGAAAACATTAAACTTATCTTCGGAAAACTGTTACTCGTTTGTCCGATCGGTTTGGTGCATTAAGCAAGATTGTAGATAATGTCTGGGACCACTTGAAAAAAAAATTACGCTCTAAAAAAAATGCACCATTTAAAAATTAAAGCTTAAAAATATTTTTTCTCTTAAACGTATGTTTAGTAATTTTTTATGTTTTAGGTGATAAAAAGGCCATCTATTTCACTATAGGATGCAAATCAAATTGAAGTAAGACAGTTTTCAAACTGTAACGATGGAAAGAAAATTGTTTTTATCATTAAGAAATAAAGTAACAGCTATTTCAGTATAAAAATATATATCAAATAGTTTTCCAAAATTCCCAATAAAAAGTTGTTCGTGAATTTTAACGATTGAAATAAGTGCTCGAAAGAAATTAAATGTTATTGTTCAGAAACATACACATAGTTCGGATAATTCTGATCAAAACAAAATAACGACAATGAAATTTTCGTTAAAATTTTCTGATCTTTATGAAAAAATATTCTTGGAACTGGAGCATCACATTCGAAAAGTGCCAAATGTTACCAATATTTTCAAAAAGTTAACATTCAAACCTCTACATCTGGAAAACGGTGCCACAGAAATATTATATTAATTTTTTTCCGTGTCGTGGACATTTAGACCAGTGTTTTGTATCCTCTTTTTATTATTTTCCGTGTGTTTTGATGACCAACCACTATGTAGAGTGATCTTCATCATTGATCATCGGCACTATCCCAATATGGAATTGCACTGAAGTTTTCAACTTTATTGGGTATACTGGTCCAAATTTCTCCAGGTACGGTGAGTCCTTTATCAAGAAATCTGAATCGTTTATTAAATAGTGCAGCGCAATCACACAATAAATGTTCAGAGCTTTCGCTCTCCAAATTACAAAAGCGACATCTATCGTCGCTAAGCTTTCCAATTTTTTTAAAATGATATTTACTAGGACAATGTCCTGTTATTAATCCAGTGTAGGTGCTTAAATCTTTTTTGGAAAGATTGAGTAACCTTTGCGTACTCAAAACGTTTGACCTAATGAATCGTTTAGATTGCCGGGCTTTTGAAATATTATTCCAATTGGATTGTACCTTGCTTTTATCCCAATTCTTTAATTCCATTTTCTGATTAGAAGGCGATAGACAATAAACGGATGAGAAAAGCTTTGCTAGTTGATCAGCTTTTTCATTTCCTTCAATGCCGCAATGACCAGGAACCCAATATAGATTTACCTTGTTACGACAGGACTATTTATGAAGTTGATTATAGCATTCCCACACTAACTTTGAAGCGTAGAAAACTGTCCAAAAAAATGCATATGTTTGCATTCCTATAATTTCTTTATGTTTATATCTACACATTCTAGAATCGCAAATATCTCTGCTTGGAATACTGTTGGTCATTTACCCATTGCTACAAAACAGTTAATTCCGGGACCTGTTATTCCTGCCCCTACAATGTTATCCTGTTTTGAGCCATCCGTGTAAAATGTTATAGACCCAGGACGAATCAACGGCCCTCCAGTCTCCCAGTCGTTGCGTGTTATATTAATTACATTGAATAGATGGTTGAATTCATGTGTTCTTTAATATAAGTGGACTTAATTGAATCTCTTTCAAAATGCTGTTATGATTTTTAAGATCTCCTTCAAAGAGCTCTTTTGTTCGTCTGAGTCTGAAAGCATTCTTCATTGCATCCAGTTGAATGAATTGATGTAAAGGAAGAAGAT